TTTACCAATTTTCATATGTACCAATAATATTACGCAATAATCATAACTGCTTTTCGATTTCTGATTCTGTGCAACGGCGGCAACACGATGTTGTTTTTTGTAATAGGTATATGTTTGGGTCAAGCCAAATCTAAAAATCATTTATTTCAATTACACCCTTACAGGCACTTTTGAACGTCAAATAAAGCTTAAAGATAAAAAGTGTCTGTCTGTCGGTCAGTCTCAGTATTTGCTCGTTCCAAAGTGTAGATTCTAATGGAGAGGAACGAGCAAGAAACTGCATGGCTCTTTTTCAATCAGATTTACATTAAAATACTTTGGTACATTATTAATTTGGTTCGAATATTATATGGGAGAACAGTGTAACACTAATATTTATGACTAGCTATTCTCGCGCGGTTTCACCCTCTGCTCGGCTCCATTCGATTGTAGCGTTATGTTTTATAGCCTATGGCACTCGGGAACATTGTAGCTATAAATTAGTGAAAGAATTTTGAATATCCGATCAGTGGTTCCAAAGATTTCCCCCTACATACATACAAACTTAAAAATTTTACATCTTTATAATATTAGTATAGATTATACCTATATATAACCATGAGAGTATCTATCGTACATAAATAATCATATATATGTTATCCTTGCTGTACACCCCAGAAGAAATGAGAGTCTAAAGTCCACGGCGCTTGGCGTACGTGACTTGAAGCACGTATGATCATAAATCCACCGTCTAAATGTTGTAATATTTTGGCGGTGAAGCACAACGGTGAAGAAAAACAACGAAAAGCAACCTGGACTTATAATATCTATTAATAAGTCTGAACTCGCCAATCCGCCTTCAGCAAGCGTCGAACTTTCTCGGTGTTGGTGAAGTAATATCCGCATATTGTTCTTTCTTGTATGACACATTTTACTTACATTATAAAATTAATACAACTCTGCGCACCTTCTTACAGTCATGTATGAGGCAGTGGAGCACGGTGCTTTCCTACCCAGGATGTAAGCAAATCCAAACGAGTGAAGAACCTGTAAGGATAGTGCGAGGAATATTCCAGGGTGATAGTCTGAGCCCACTGTAATTCTGCTTGGCCTTGAATCCTCTCAGTATTTTACTTGAGGCTTCAGGGCTGGGCTATCGTTTGCAGAGAAAAGGTCACGTTATTTCCCACTTACTTTACATGGATGACCTCAAGTTGTTTGCACCAAACAAGGAGGAGCTGATGGAACTACTAAAAATAACAAAAAATTGTAGTAGTTCCATCAGAATGGTGGAAATGTTGATAAGTGTGCGGTCATGCATGTAAAGCGAGGCGGGATAGTGGAATCTGAAAGTCTAGAACTGTCAGATTTCACAAAACTGAGATCACTCTCCGCAAATGATACCTACAAGTATTTGGGTATGTCGGAAGGATTAGGTATATTAATACCCAATCCTTCCGATAGGCCCATTAGGGCCGCACATGAAACAATCTTTACAGGAGCGCTTCTTTGGCCGCCTGAATAAGGTACTGATAAGTTCGTTATCAGGCGGCAACAAGGTACGAGCCTTTAACGGTTGGGTCATGCCGGTCCTGATGTATTCTTTTGGCATACTCAAATGGACTCAGACTGAACTTGACACCCTGGATAGACGAGTTCGGACGCTGCTGACTGCAAATCGAATGCATCACCCTCGTTCATCAGTCATGAGGTTGTACATCCCGCGGATGCGTGGAGGTCGAGGCTTTCTAAACGCTAAGAGCCTTCACAACCGTGAGGTGTGCAATCTCAGAGAATATTTCCTGAAAGTGGACGAGGATATGCATCGAGATGTAGTCACAGTGGACAAGGGATTCACACCACTATCCTTGGCGAAAGAGAACTGGTGCAAACCCGTAGTACTGAGCGTCAATGACCGCAAGGCCGTATGGAGTAGCAAGGAGCTTCACGGACGCTTTTTCCGGGCTCTCCACGGGCCCGATGTAGATTTTCTAGCGTCTGTAGCTTGGCTACGATTCAGTAACCTCTTCGTAGAAACTGAAGGATTTGTATGTGCAATTATGGACGAAGTTATCCTCACGAATAACTACCAGAAATATATTATGAAGGATGGGACGGTTGACATATGTCGGGCATGTCATAGCCCCGGTGAATCCATCAGACATATTATTTCCGGCTGTTGTCGTTTGGCTAATGGCGAATACTTGCACAGACATAATCAGGTGGCCAAGATAGATTATCCATCAGCAACTTGCTTTGAAATACCGGCTTGTTGAGTCTGAGGTCCCGTACTACAAGTATGTGCCCGACCCAGTTCTCGAAAAAGACCATATCACATTGTACTGGGATCGGTCTATCATCACAGACAGGAGTATTGTAGCCAATAAGCCTGACATAGTGGTGGTAGACCGACTAGTGCGTCACACGACGATAGTCGATGTTGCCATTCCTCATGACGAGAACCTCGTGAAAGCTGAGAAAGATAAACAATTGAAATATCTTGACTTAGCTCACGAGGTTGTTGACATGTGGAGTGTGGACTCGGCTATCATTGTGCCGATAGTTGTGTCGGCAAATGGGTTAGTCCCCAAAAGCCTCGACAACCACTTTAAGAGGCTGACGTTAGGCGGATGGATCAAGGGCCTCATACAGAAGGCAGTCCTCCTTGAAACGGCACGTATTGTGAGGAGGTTCCTGTCTCTGGAGCCCTAACTGCCGGTCGGCTTGGACCTTGCTCCCGCTGCCGGCTGGCTCCTACTTTTATATTTTTAAATATTATTTTATTTTATTTTATAGTAATATTTAAAAATATAATTTTAGAGTAATTTTAATAAATATATGGAATAATAATGTCATGAGATACTTAATGTTAAAATTTATCAATTAGGAAGTCTGTTGTTGAATAATATAATAACATTTGTCAATGAGAAGTTTCCGTACAGTCGCTTTAAATTGATTGTAATTGAGTGATTTTACACTGTCTGGTAACTTATTATATAACAGTTGTGCCATGCAAAGAAAACTTTTATTCATGAGGGCTGTTTTGCCATAACAAACCTCGAGTTTTAGTCCATTGCTGTATGTGTTGTATATTTCATTTATTTTTTTAGTTTAGGACAAATTTTTAAGTATGATTGAATTAGATTTAAGATATTATCCCGAATTCCGTATGAGTTTAGTTTTTTGAGCAAGTTTTTGTGATCAACGCAGTCGAAGGCTTTGCTCACATCCATGAAGATGGCACATATAGGATGGTTTCCATCCATATCAGAAATAATTGGGTCAATAAATTTATATATTGCTAAATTAATGCCTTTCCCTTTGCGAAATCCATGTTGTTCATCAGTTAATATTTATTTTTTTTCTAAGTATACATATATTGCTTTGTATATTATTTTCTGAAATATTTTCGATATGATTGGAATTAATGCAATTGGTCTATAGTTTGTCATTTCTGTTTTATCGCCCTTTTTGTGTTATGGTTTTATAATCGTAGTTTTAAGCTTAACTGGATAGATTACTTGCATTATACAAAGGTTTAATATGTAACTAAGCTGAGGTGAAATAGATTGTGCTACAGCCTTTATCACTTTAGTAGATATTTAATCATACCCCACACTATGCGTGTTTCTCAAACATTTGATTTCCCTTATAATGTCTTGTGGTATTGTAGGGTTCATAAACATAGATGCCAAGCCTAGCATGCATGCATAGAAGTCGGTGCCAAGTAAATTCTACATACCAAACAACAACAGTATTGTTTTTATAATAACTATCGTGAGACACTAAATTAACTAAAAATCGCGGGTTACTCACGTGTAAATATTGAGAATTGAGTAGGCTGCGCGACGTCGCCGCGTCCTCGCACGCTGCTCATGAGGAAGAACCCCTCTGTGGTTCGAAACTAGTAGAGCTTTTCTCAATATTTACACGTGAGTAACCCGCGATTTTTAGTTAACAACAGTACTAGAAAAATATATTGATCGGTACCTACTAATCATCAAATTAGCAAGAGGTATGTAGGTAATATTTTTACACTGTTATAGTTTTACTTGGCACCGACTTTAAGATTATAAAATAGTATTAAATATTATTTTCTATTTAACTAAATTAAAATATGTATTAGTTTAAACAAAGTACTTAAATTTATTTTTTGCTTTTTAGTTTACTTTTTGAAGTCGGTTTTTTTGTTAAAAATTATTTTATTTCACCATTTTAAGTGATAGGCAGAGAAAGCTAGGATGCTTCTTGAAAGAGAAGACGACGGCTACTTGAGTCCGAAAATCACGGTAATGGCAGTCCTGAGTTAGTCAGCTTTCAGTGCCGTAAATCGTTGAGGAATTCCCTCGAATGTCAATGACCTCCATTATCAAGTATACTGCAGACCTTCATTATATATAATTCATATAGGTGCAAAGTTCTCATCAATATAAATGAATTAAGTCCAAGCACGAGGTAGTTACTGTAAACCGTTCAGGAGTTCCCTGAGCTGTCCTTCGTTCTCATCATCAGACCCTTAATGATAGTCACGACCAATCTTGGTGCAAAGTGCTCACCAATACGAATCATTCAAGCCTAAACACAAGGCAACTACTCCAAATAATCAAGGAGATCCCTCGACTGCCTTCCGGCTCCATCATTAGGTCGGATTCGAACATCGGCAAGTTGTAAACTTATCAAAAGCCTACTAAAATCATATGCAAAAGCACCTCCTCCTTTTTGGAAGTCGGTTAAAAAGTAAAAGTGAAAATCATTTATTTCAAATAGACCAAAGTAGGCAATTTTGAAAGTCTATGGAAAATGTTACTCTTTTTTTCAATCAGTTTTACAATTCATTTCTTTGTTACATCATTTAGTCGGTTCTGATATGTGAGAACAGTGTAACACTAATATTTAGACAATGAATCGGAAAAAGAGGGCGGCGCCCGATAACGAACTATCTGGAAACTTCGATAGCACAATGGGTTTTCCAATATTGAATTATCAGAATCGAATAATATAGATAGATAAGATTTTACCGTCATTATCTATCAGCGATGTGTGGCGGCGACGATCACGGCAACGACGTTGTCGTTCATACATTTGGCTGAAAGCAAAGATCGTGTTAGCAAAAACGAAAAAATTGTTGAAGTCCACCCAAACATGTTGGAATCAGTGGAGCAAGAAAAAAGTGATTTAGTAAAGCGAAAAACTAAATTTAGCCAGTGTTACGGAAAGAAAATTAGCTAGAATTAAAACTATTTACAATATTTTTGAGTTTAAAGCCGCGTCGGAAAATAGTGATCGACCATAGTGGAGGATTAATCGTTAAGAGTGTCTATTGAAAAGACATTTTTAATAAAAACGAAGATGGTCTTGGCGTTTTCAATTTGGGCGCTGCTATATAACCTGATGCAACGCACAGAGATAAGCTACAATTTGCACCCGCGTCTTCAGAAGTGTACCTGCTAATCATAAAATTAGCAAGAGGTATGTAGGTAATATTTTTACAATGTTATAGTTTTACTTGGAACCGACTTTAAGATTATAAAATAGTTATTAAATATTATTTTACTAAATGAAAATATGTATTACTTTAAACAAAGTAAATTAATTTTTTGTGGAACAGAGTGAAAGTACATAATGGCGGCTGATGGTTTTGGATCCGTATGGAGGATGTTTACTGATGGAAACGATGAAACGTGAGTTATATTATTTATTTATTTATAGCTACTCCGCTTAATTCATTATAATCAATCTTTAAATGCACTTTTACTTTTAATATCAATATATACTACGACATGCCGGTTTTTTCCCAAGTATTGTTTGTGTAATATCACACAATATTGCAACGCAACATTATCTTGTCGATAATATATAATTGCAAACGATTTAAGTCGATATTTTTACACTTACTAGCTATTTTTATAATAAATATCGTGAGACATACTAAATTAACTAAAAATCGCGGGTTACTCACGTGTAAATATTGAGAAAAGCTCTACTAGTTTCGCAGAGTAGGCTGCGTGACGTCGCTGCGTCCGCGCACGCTGCTCATGAGGAATTTTTACACGTGAGTAACCCGCGATTTTTAGTTAACTTACTAGCTATTGTTTAAAATTAATCTAATGAAGGAAAAGGTACTTATAGCATAACCTAATTTATTGTTTTTACCTTTAAGACATACGAGGTATGCATTACTAGATGGCGCTAGTGAGGTTTAATGTCGTCATCGGCTCAGTATGTTACGGCAAAAATGCAATTAATTAAAATACACTCTTTTACAATAATGTGACGGAAAAGTGGTTCAAACTCTTTGACATCATGACGTCAATGGATGGTTGTCAAACGTTGCCTAGAGATTGTAAATTTCGTCGTGAATTGTCAACACGAGTTGGTGTAATCGGTAAGGCGTGTGGATTACACCACAGTGACCCCGAGTTCGAGTCCCGCCGTAAACATGAAGTTTTTTAGTTGATAGAAGTTTTGTGGAACTTTCTGGAATTATTTGTGTGAAAGAAATGAAAAATTAAAGAGCGAGAAGGAGAATAAATAAAAATGAGTAACGAAATTATTGGAAGGTTCTGGAGTCATGACGATCAAAAAGAATAACGAAATTGAATGTTCCAGAACCTGAACCGGGGGTATATAAGCGGAACTGCGGCTCACCGCTGGCAGTTGAGTTCTAAGTCTAAAGTGATTCGGAAGAAAAGGAAGAAGTGAAAAAGAAGAAAAGTGAGTGAAATTGTGAAGTGCAGTGAAATAGTGAAGTGCAGTCAGTTAAGTGAGTTAAGTCAGCGTGAACGGCAAAGTTGTGTCAGTCGGCCGGACTCTGCTGAAGAAGAACGCCGATAACTTAACTCCGTGGACGCTGTAACTTAAGTGCAATAGAAAGTCTGAAAACCGGTATTTGTATTTCATTTCATCCAATCCCGTAACCCAAGCCCGCATAGTCAGGAACGTGACGTCAGGCACGTAACATTTGGTGTCAGAAGTGGGATTGGAGAAAAATGCCGCTAGTACCGCAGGACGTAAGAGGAGTGAGTACCCGTTCAATGTCAGAAGCGCAGCGTGTGAGGGAAGAGGGTGCTGCAGCTCAAACCAGCGATGCAGAAGCCAAGCCTGTGCAGGTGGATCTTCTGCTACAGCTGCAGCAAATGATAGCAGAGCAAGCGCGCTGTCAGGCAGAACAGCTGCGGGAGCTGAGAGAAGAGCAAGCGCGCCGCCAAGAAGAGCAAGCGCGCCGCCAAGAAGAGCAAGCGCGCCGCCAAGAAGAGCAAGCACGCTGTCAGGCAGAACAGCTTCGGGAGCTGAAAGAAGATCAAGCTCGTCGCCAAGAGGATCAAGCTCGCCGCCAAGAGGAGCAAGCGCGTCGCTTGGAAGAGATGCACAGGGATTTCACGAAGGGACTGCAAAAGGCTGTCGAACGGGTACAAGAAGTGGAGGAAGGGTTAGGCAAGCTGGAACATCGCGTCATGGCGATAGAGGAGAGAGTGGAAGAAGAGATCTCCAAAATCAAGCAGGAAGTGGCAAGCCCAAGCCCTTTGAAGAGCCGAAGCCGTCTTGCAGCCGTTTTTGACACCCCAAATGTGGCCTCAAGCGCAACGAAAGGGCTCAAGATTCCCCATTACGACGGAACAACATCCTGGACCGCGTTCAAGCTACAGTTTGAGACACTTATGGAGGCTTATGGTTGGACTCAGAAGGAAGCACAGTCAGCCCTCACCCTGGCCCTCCGTGATCAAGCGCTCTCAGTGCTGGAAGCTATCGGCGCAAGTGGGGATCTCAGCTTTAGTGCCCTCCTCGACGCACTTGAGGCACGTTTTGGAGACAGCCACCTCGAGCACGTGTACAGAGCGCAATTAAAAGAGCGTACTCAGCGTGCTAATGAGAGTCTACAGCAATGGTCCGTAGAAATCGAAAAACTTGTGCGTCGAGCTTTCCGGTCGACTCCGTCAATGATTGAAGGCACGCTTCTCCAAGCATTCATTGACGGTGTTCGGGACCCCGAAGTACGAGCTGCTGTTCATCTGGGCCATCACAAGAACATGAAAGAAGCTCTGGCCCATGCATTGGAAGTGGAAGCCGTGCGTGGTAACTCCCGTACATTACGTCTGCGGGAAATGACAACAACGGAGCAGGTACCTCCACGCCGTCGGAACTTCATGTGCTATGGATGCGGAGAGCGTGGGCACATGCGGAGCGACTGCCCGAAGAAGGTGAACCGCCAGGACGCGGCGGTCTCAACTTCTGACCAGCAGGAAAACTAAATCCAGCCAGGGCTGCGGGGTGGGCGCTGGCCGGTAGTGGAATAACCCCAACAATCTACATCAAGCAAACTAACGATGGAAATACTTTGGTGATAGACGGTCAAGTAAACGGGAAAAACAGTCAGCTAACGCTAGATACTGGAGCTTCAAGGACGGTGATGAATGTTCGGCTGCTCGGGCAAAACATCAGGAAACACCTTAAACCAATTGTTGGCCTACGAATGAAATCAGCTACCGGCCAGCGCATACCGATAAGTGGAAAATTGCATGTAACAATTAAAATTGGGGAACGTGTTTATCGACATGAGGTTATTGTGGCCAAAATTCTGGATGACTGCATCCTGGGACTTGATTTCCTGCAAGGGCACCAGTGTAACATCGACTTAAAATCTGGAGTATTACTATGTGGAACTGAGGAAATTCCGATGAAGGGTGGAACCCTGGGAAAAGTTTGCTGTTTAAGAAGAACTGTTCTTGCACCAAAATCACAGACTCTCGTACCAATTGCATTACCTAGGAGGAGGGAAGGAAGTTTACCTCGAAGGTGCGCTGTGATTGATAAATCGGAACACGTAAACTCATGGCTACCGGCAAGAACTGTCGTGGGGTCATCTGATGTCAACCGCATTCCGGTATTTAACTTCAGTGATTCAAAAATTACGATTGAAGAAGGAGAGCCTGTGGGCGTATTGGAAGAAGTGGCCTGGATAAGAAAATGCTCGGAAAATCTTGTGAAGAAGGACAGTGCGGGAATAGACTTTGTAACGAAAATCTTAGACGAAAACAAAAGTCTGACAAAAGTGGAGACTATGAAAGCTAGAAATTTACTTCTTCGATTCTCTGATGTGTTTTCAAGAAGCGATGGTGATATTGGCCGAACTGGTTTGGTGAAGCATAAAATAAACACAGGTGATACAATGCCAATTCGTCAAAGGCCCAGACGTATACCATTCGCTCGTGAGAAAGAGGTTGAACAAATGATTGACGATATGAGGAAAAATGACGTGATAGAGCCCTCTTCTAGCCCTTGGTGTTCACCTGTCGTGCTTGTCAAGAAGAAAGATGGTTCAACAAGGTTTTGCGTAGACTATCGACGATTGAATGATGTAACCAAGAAGGATAGCTACCCGTTACCAAGAATCGATGACACACTTGACACACTGAGTGGCATGAAATGGTTTTCAACGCTCGATCTGAAAAGCGGCTATTGGCAGGTGGATTTGGATCCTAAGGACAAGGAAAAGACCGCATTCTCAACTGGGAAGGGACTCTGGCAATTTAAGGTGATGCCATTTGGATTATGCAATGCACCGGCAACCTTTGAGCGTTTGATGGAACAGGTGCTGGCGGGACTACTGGGCGAAACCTGCTTAGTTTACCTCGATGACATCATCATTGTTGGACGGGATTTTGATGATCATCTCAGGAAATTGGAAAGGGTACTCGAAAAGCTGCGTGGAGCAAATTTAAAGTTGAGTCCAAAGAAATGCTCTTTCTTTAAGCGCGAAGTGAATTATCTAGGACATGTTATTTCTGAGAGAGGAATTGAGACTGATCCAGCCAAGACTGCCGCTGTTAAGGAATGGCCAACACCTAAAGACAAAACGCAAGTTCGGGCATTTCTTGGATTATGCTCGTATTATCGGCGGTTTGTGAAAGGATTCTCGGACATTGCCAAGCCATTGCATCGATTGACAGAGGAGAAACGTGCCTTTATATGGGACGAGGATTGTGAGCAAGCCTTTCGAGAACTAAAAGAACGGCTTTGTAACACACCAATTCTCGGATACCCCAGCGCGAAAGGAATATTCGTAGTTGATACGGATGCCAGCAATATCGGAATAGGAGGAGAAGGTTATTGCTTACTTCAGCAAGTCACTATCCAAGCCGGAGAGGAATTATTGCGTGACCAGGAGGGAATTGCTGGCCGTAGTCAAAACTCTGCACCATTTCAAGAAGTATTTACTGGGACGGAAATTTTTGATCAGAACTGATCACGCTGCTTTGAAATGGCTGCTTCAGTTTAAGGATCCCGAAGGCCAAGTAGCCAGATGGTTGGAACAACTTCAGGAATTTGACTTTGAAATCGAACATCGCGGCGGAAGAATTCATGGCAACGCAGACGCATTATCGAGACGCCCATGCGTGGAAGATTGCAAGCATTGTCCCAAGAAGGAAATTGCTTTTCTTAAAGTGATAAGGACTGATACTGTTGACGAGGCATGGGGAGATGATGCGATGAAATTAGAACAGGAAAGAGATGCGGATATCAAACCAATACTGGAGTGGCTACGAAGTGGTAACAAGCCAAGTTGGAGTGACGTCGCCCAATATAGCGCGGTAACGAAAGGTTTATGGGCACAGTGGAAAAGCCTTACGCTGCATAACGGACTTCTGTGCAGGAAATGGGAATCAACAAACGGCAAGGACGAGCATTTACAATTGGTGGTGCCTCGTTCAAAAATAAGGGATGTATTAAAAGCGTTCCATGATGGATCTTCTGGAGGACATTTGGGAATTAGGAGGACTTTGGTGAAGATCAAGGAGAGGTTTTATTGGTTGCATTGCAAATATGATGTCGAAGATTGGTGCCGGAAATGCACTAGTTGTGCAGCTGTCAAGGGTCCACAAACAAGAAGCAGGGGGGCGATGAAAATCTACAATGTTGGTATGCCTTGGGAGAGAATAGCCTTAGACATCGCTGGACCATTTCCAATCACTGATTCGGGCAATCGCTACGTTTTAGTGGTTATGGATTATTTTACAAAATGGCCGGAGGTCTTTGCCATACCGAATCAAGAGGCAGTAACTGTAGCCACGAAGTTGGTAAACGAGGTATTCACCCGATTCGGAGTGCCCTTGGAGATGCACAGTGATCAAGGACGGAACTTTGAATCCCAAGTTTTCCAGGAAACTTGTAAACTTTTAGGAATCCATAAGACTCGAACGACCCCTTATCATCCACAGTCAGATGGAATGGTCGAACGTTTCAACCAAACATTGGAGCGACACTTAGCAAAGGTGGTTGACAGCCATCAGAGAGATTGGGATACTTACATACCTCTCTTCTTGCTTGCCTATCGGACTGCTGTACATGAAAGTACCGCAAAGACGCCTGCATTTGCAAATTTTGGAAGGGAATTGAGATTACCGGCAGATCTTGTATCGGGCTGTCCACCTGGCGACACTCGCACTGAGTTTAGCGATTACATAAGCGAGTTAAGGGCAAAAATGTTGGACATTTACGAGCAGATCAGAGAGGCCGGTCTTCAAGCTAGTGATCGCGCAAAAACGCGCTATGATCGACGAGCCAATTCTGTTGGGTTTGAAGAGGGGTCATTGGTCTGGCTTCATAATCCAGTCAGAAGGAAGGGAAAATCTCCGAAGCTGCAACCGAGTTGGGAAGGTCCTTATGAGATAGTCACGAAGATCAATGACATTACTTACAGAATTCGGAAGACTTCAAGGAGCCCTTTGAAAGTTGTCCATATAGACAGGTTGGCGAGGTATTACGGCAGCAACGATGCTCGGGACGAGCGAATCTAAGAGGGGGGCAGTGTGACGGAAAAGTGGTTCAAACTCTTTGACATCATGACGTCAATGGATGGTTGTCAAACGTTGCCTAGAGATTGTAAATTTCGTCGTGAATTGTCAACACGAGTTGGTGTAATCGGTAAGGCGTGTGGATTACACCACAGTGACCCCGAGTTCGAGTCCCGCCGTAAACATGAAGTTTTTTAGTTGATAGAAGTTTTGTGGAACTTTCTGGAATTATTTGTGTGAAAGAAATGAAAAATTAAAGAGCGAGAAGGAGAATAAATAAAAATGAGTAACGAAATTATTGGAAGGTTCTGGAGTCATGACGATCAAAAAGAATAACGAAATTGAATGTTCCAGAACCTGAACCGGGGGTATATAAGCGGAACTGCGGCTCACCGCTGGCAGTTGAGTTCTAAGTCTAAAGTGATTCGGAAGAAAAGGAAGAAGTGAAAAAGAAGAAAAGTGAGTGAAATTGTGAAGTGCAGTGAAATAGTGAAGTGCAGTCAGTTAAGTGAGTTAAGTCAGCGTGAACGGCAAAGTTGTGTCAGTCGGCCGGACTCTGCTGAAGAAGAACGCCGATAACTTAACTCCGTGGACGCTGTAACTTAAGTGCAATAGAAAGTCTGAAAACCGGTATTTGTATTTCATTTCATCCAATCCCGTAACCCAAGCCCGCATAGTCAGGAACGTGACGTCAGGCACGTAACAATAATATATATCATCAGATTTTGTTCTATTTATTCATTTTATGTATTTTTATATAGGCACTTATACATATTTACGTCTAGATAAACAACTTTACCTAACTGTTAATTACGAAAGCTGCAGACGGAGGATTAAAAAAATACCAAAATTATTTATTACTAATTTATTAAACTCTAATTATTACAATTTAATGATTAATCTTATGGTATCGACTACGTTCGACGATCGATCCGAAGTGACGTCCCCCGGGGCTGTTGCGATGGCGAGATGGTTGGCACGTGGTGTCAGCAGCTCGTGTCCACGCCTCGTGTTTGTTTGCTGATGCAATTGTAATTTGGGGCAATTGAAGTAAATGCATGGTCAGGGATTGGCTAACTGTACCATGGTATAACATGTTAATCCCATTTTTTCAACAACAACAACATATTCGAAATTGTATTTATAATAACTATCGTGAGACATACTAAATTAACTAAAAATCGCGGGTTACTCACGTGTAAATATTGAGAAAAGCTCTACTAGTTTCGAACCACAGAGGGGTTCTTCCTCATGAGCAGCGTGCGCGGACGCAGCGACGTCGCGTAGGCTGCGCGACGTCGCCGCGTCCGCGATTTTTAGTTAATATTCGAAATTACCACGACAAATACTGCAGTAAATTTGCTCATCTAATAAATCGATTATACTATACTGTTAGATCTTTTAAGCTTGACTGTTTTACTAGAAGACTATCTGATAACTAAAAGTAATTTTGTTTTTCTTTAATACAACCTAACATAACCTAAAATTACGTTGTAATATTGAATTTTTTGTGTGCAAATCAGTGTTTCTGAATAGTATTAACAATGAAACAATGAAATAATGAATTTATTTTTGCAAATAGGCCATAAAACGGCACTTTTACACGTCAATTTATATGTGAAAAACTAGATGAAGCCGGTTATTGGTTCAAAATGCGTACATGTGGTGTGGATTCAACTAGATTTGCTGTAAATTAGATAAACGCCATCAGATTATGATTCATAAACATTTATTCATTTAAAACATTTATATAAATGGTAAATCAGGCATACGTGCCCCAGTCGATAATGTGCCCCACTCGCAAAACTGACAGATGCATTTTGAATTTGGTGCTAATTTTGTCCACGTGGGTTAGTGACAGAAGTATGGCGTCGATGTCAACAATTCAGCTAATATTTATTTGTTTTCATGAAGAAAAACTGGTCACAATGTAAGTATCATAGTCTGAAAATGTTTTGTGTCTGTTGTAACTTTAAGTAAAAATGTTTGCTTCATATTTTGTTCCGTTTTTATTAAAGTTTTATTCTAAAGCTCTTTTACACAATTGCGTTTCGTTTTTCCTAAACATTTTTGTTGAAATCAAGTGAGGTTTGTACTGTAATTTTGGCTAATGCGCCCCGATTTATTTCGGGTAATGTGCCCCACATATTGTATTAGTTTTATATTTTTATTTTTAACTATTTTTGATCGTTTTTTATTTATTTTAGAAATGAGGAAGGAAAAGCTACAGATCCAAGAAGATGGACAAATGACAATATGAAAAAAGCTATAGAAGATGTCATAGGTAAGAAAATGGGAGTTAATGAAGCTAGCCACATATATGAAATATGAGATCTTAGACACATCCTGAAAGGCTGGGATAGCAAGCAAAATAAAGGTAGACCTTCGGAATTAGGACATCCTTCGGATTTCCCTATATTTATTGGGGCACATACGACTGATGTATCCGTGTAATGTGCCCCACCCTAGACTTTAAGAAACTGGTGATCTCAGCTATTTTAATTACTTTTGAAAAGATTTTTCTTTGTTTTTGTTATACCTATCAGAGATTAAGACTTAGTTACTTTAATAAACATGTTTTAAATAACAACGTTTTTTATTTAAATTTTTCGAATTGTGGGGCACATTTACCAGGTTTACACAAGCTTCGGCACGAATGGGTCGGATCGACCGGAGTGATACCACGGCCTCACAGAATACCGACGTGAAACAACCACAGCGTTGTGTTTAGCCGTGTGAGTGAGGTTACCGGAAGCCCAATCCTTCCCCTCCCCCAATCCCTAAATCTCCAAAACCCTTATCCCTAAAAGGCCGGCAACGCACTCGTAACTCCGTTGGTGTTGCGGGTGTCCATGGACGGCGCTGATTACTTACCATCAGGTAATCCGTCTGCTCGTTTGCCGACATGTTCCATAAAAAAAAAACTTTTATTGATTATTCCATGGATTTCCTTGCCCGTTTTTCTCCAAGGGAATCTAGACATTGGAATGAGCAAATAGCTTCACTAGAGGACTGACCGACAGACTGACATGTGCACGAAGTTAAACTTTGATTTAAAACTTTGAATTGTTTGATGTTTAATAGTGGTCTATTTGACTTTTTTTTACTTTTGATGAGTTGCAGTCATTCATGTTCAGACCTGGATAAATTACCGATGTCACAAAAGATTGTTACATGTAGGAATATAGATAATTTCCCAGCCACTGGTGTATGGTCAACAATTCAGTGAAAATTAATAATTTTGTTGCAGATATTTTATAAGACGTTTGGATTATGATGACCACAGCCAAGCTTTGGAAATAATACAGAGTGAAATGTACTGTAATCCCATATTTAACGCAATAAGTAAGTCCAAAATGTATATTTTTAAAATTACTAGCTGTCCCGGCAAAATTCATTCCGCCACAAATGTTTTTTTGTCTTTTATACCCCTCCTGAACTTTCTCGATCATTTCAAAATTAAATAAATATAATAATAATAAATAAATAAAATCCGCAAGGCAGCTTGTGGCGAGCTGTTGGGCAGTGGCGACCCCACGGACCTGACTCCCGGGAGGTGTCTTGTTCTTCTCTCTCCGGTTAGTCCTGGTGACGAGCTGGAGTGAACACTGATGAAGAACAAGCCCCTCATTCTTGCCTTAATTGGCTGGCTTGAGTGGAGATTTGCAAGAGTAGGAGTTGAAGGAGACTCGGGGGAAGGATGTATCTCAGTAAGGTGTTGGTAGGGGTCTTGACCGTACTTCCGGAATTGCTCTGTTAGCCGTGGGATGCCTCTCCTTCCCCAAGCAGCTCAACGTACCTATGTTGCCACCGTGTCGCTACATGCTAGCGGCCGTTTCCGGGGGCCCATTAATTGAGTTTGCCAGTCACCCCCTGCCTGTTTATCCGTATGTATCAATATTGGTCAGGGGCAGGGGCTATAGTATTTCCATAGTTATCATATCCACCAGTCCATAGCAACCCATATTCATAACCCTATCAATTTTTACCACATTTCACAATAGTCTTGCATCAACCGGGGGTTGTCCTTGGGTGCACTTATAAAGTGCATACAGGGATAATTGCCGGCTGATGTCCCATCACATCTAGATTAAAACTGTTCAACGGGCCTCTGCGAGTTGGCTTCGGATCCTCGTACGCCTTCCAAAGGTCCGGGACCCTGTGGTGCCGTGAAAGGATAGAACAAATAAATAAATAATAAATAAATTAGTTGATTATGAGACTGAAGGCATCATCATAATTAACTAATGCTTCTAATCTTTTAAACCTTCTCTGGACTTCCACGAATATTTTAAAACCAGCTAATTATTAGCTAAACTGGACCAATCGTTCTCGAGACTTAGTGAGACTAATGAACAGTATTTCATATTTATATATTAGATTGTGATATTCGGTGGAGGAAAATATCGTTATATACTTTTATGGGATACGAGTACACGAGCAGGCGGATTACCTGATGGTAGGCAATCGGTGCCGCCTATGAACAGCCATATCTCCATAGGAGTTACTACGAGTGCCTTATCGATCTTTTGTGGGCTATTTTTTGGGGATTGCGGGGTGACAAGCGCAAAAAGACACCGCAGCCTTAACCCAGGGCAGGAAAAGAAATGGGGTTTCCCCCCGAAGAATCCGAAACGGACGGCGTTATCTTTGAAAACTGGCCCATCCCAGAATTTTGCTGGACGTGTAGTGTCCCTTGCTGGACGCGGAAAAATGACTTGGATAGTTTACACTGGTAACAGTGACGACGCGATGAGCAAGCTAATCAGAAGGGTGGCCGACGAGACTGGGCGTAGAAGTTTAAGGAATACAACCTGAAAATGGCCATCAGGCATAGAGACGCGGCGGTTGTATGCGCTCTTTTGAATGCTTCTTTGTGATGTGAAATCTGCAGCGTAGGATATGTGTGCATCTCCCAAATAATAGTTACAATTAAATATTAATAACGTAATATAGTAATAGTTAGTACTTTAAACAAACCTGAAATTGTGATGATAGATCGATCAAACCGTCGCACAATGATAATTGATATAACAATTCCACATGACGAGAATCTTGTGAAAGCTGAAAAAGATAAAGCAAGTGAATATCTTGATTTAGCTCATGAGATTGTCGACATGTGGGATGTAGACTCAGCAATCATTGTGCCGATAGTCGTGTCTGCCAATGGTCTCATGGCTAAAAGCCTTGATAAACATCTAAGCAGGCTTACGTTAAATAGTCGGGGCTGCGGGGTAAGCGCAATGAGGCACCGTGACCTCGGCCCAGAGCAGGAGAAGGAACAGGGGGGTTTTTAGCCAGTAAGAGTCTGACACTCCCTCCCGCCCGACCCTGGGCAGGAGAAGCCATTTGATGATTTTCCCACACGGCGCGCATTGTCCGGAGATTCCTTTCTCTGGAGCCCTGACCACCGGTTGCTTGGAACCTTCCCGTAACCGGTGGGATACTGCGTTTTTTATTGTTTTTCTTTTTTTTGTTTTGTGAAAATATTTAAAAATGTAAAAATCAAGATTAGAAATATATAATATATAATATAAAGCTGACTAAGTAGAGCCGTCGATAAATCTATATATATAAAAGAAAGTCGTGTTAGTTACTCCACTTATAACTTAAGAACGGCTGAACCGATTTAGCTGAAAATTGGGAGGGAGGTAGTTTAGAGCCAGGAGAAGGACATAGGATAGGATAGAGTAGGTAGAATAGGTTAGGTAGAGTAAGGTAGGTAGAGTAGGGTAGGTAGAGTAGGGTAGGTAGAGTAGGGTAGGTAGAGTAGGGTAGGTAGAGTAGGGCAGCCGGCAGGTAGGGTCGGTAGAGTAGGGTAGGTAGGGCAGGTAGGGTTGGTAGAGCAGGGTAGGTAGGGCAGGTAGAGTAGGGTAGGTAGAGTAAGGTAGGTAGGGTAGGGTAGGTAAGGTAGGGTAGGTAGAGTAGGGTAAGTAGGGTAGGTAGGGCAGGGTAGGTAGAGTAGGGTAGGAGGAGTAGGGTAGGTAGAGTAGGGTAGGTAGAGTAGGGTAGGTAGAGTAGGGTAGGTAGAGTAGGGTAGGTAGAGTAGGGTAGATAGGGTAGGGTAGGTAAGGTAGGGTAGGTAGAGTAGGGTAGATAGGGTAGGGTAGGTAAGGTAGGGTAGGTAGAGTAGGGTAGGAAGGGTAGGTTATGAAATGAAGTGTAATATAAAATTAGATTGTATTATTGTAGACAGTTAAATGTAACGTGTAATTTCTATAAAATAATATACTTGTGGTTAGTTGCAGAATGTAAAAGCGATTTAAAAAAAATGAAATTTTAGTAATGTTTTTTTTTTTAATTGTATAACTATGGCACGGACCCCGAGTCCGTGGAGACTGTAACTAAGTAATAATAAAAATTCGGGAGTGTTTTTAGTCAGTAAGAGTCTGACACTCCCTCTTGTATCAATCTGGGTAAGAGTGAGTCATTTGATGATCTATCTGACACTCCCACGGCGAAACACAACGCTGTGGTTGTTTCACGCCGGTTTTCTGTAAGGCCGTGGTCACTCTGGTCGTAATGTTTTTCCATCGCTAATATCAGGTTTTTTCAGATTTCAGATCCGATGCTATGTATCCCGAAGAATGCTCGATCGCGATGTTTATGGCTAACCATATGAAGCAAAATCGAAATACAGTATTTGGTTGTTATTTGGGACGTACAAACTGTCTAGTGGGCATTGATATGATGTACAAACATAATATTAACGCGCCACCGAAGAAGATTAGTGTAAGTGTAATATTTTTTTTATGGTAGGTACCTACAGGTCAGCAAACGAGCAGACGGATTACCTGATGGTAAGCAATCGGCGCCGCCCATGGACGCCCAACACCAAAGGAGTTACGAGTGCATTTCGGATATTTAAGGATTGGGAAGGATGAGCTGAGGGGAAGCGATTGGGCCTCCGGTAATCTCACTCACACGGCGAAATATAACGCTGTGGTTGTTGCACGCTGATTGTCTCTGAAGACATGGTAGTCCGGTCGAGCCGAGCCATGCGTGCCGAAACTTGACTCTCCCACACTTTTTATTTACCCTAGATACATAATACATCCATACTAAAATGATAAAGAGGTAAAATTTGTAAGTTTGTGTGTAGGGAGTAATCTTTGGAACCGCTGGTCGGATTGCCAAAATTCTTTCACTGATAGATAGCTACAATGTTCTTGAGTGCTATAGGATATAAAACATCACGCTAGGATTAAATGGAGACGAAAGTAGCTAGTAGTATACAAACATATGTAATAGGAGCATAATAATATAAGATTCTGTTTATTTAATTTTCAGGGCAACGCTTGCCAACACTATTTGAAGTTCGTAAAGTTTGTTGAAAGGAATTTAAGATATGGCGGTGCTACAAAAAGGGTCAGCTTCCTGACTTCCCTCGGCATGTTTCTAAAACCAAAATACAGGAATGCCGGATTCGAAGAACATATGCTTACAGTACGGTGAGTGTTTTTAACCTTTGACCAATGTGACTTTTTCCGAGTTGTATGTACTTTCTACGATTACTTAGACACCACTGACCTACGCTGAAGGAAAACATCGTGGACTTATAATTTCCAATTATAAGTCAATCGTAATCTAATTATAATATATCGTCAATCCGCATTGAGCAAGCGTGGTGATGAATGCTCAAACCTTCTCCGCGTGGAAAGAGGCATTTGCTCATCAGTGGCCACATATAGGCTGATGATGATGATGATGATGATGATGATAAAGTGTTTTCTATATACTAGGTGGAAGACGAACGCTCCGAAACCAACCATAATACACCATGTATCAAACCATCATCAATTTGTTTGAAAGTAGATGTTTTAGCGATTTTTTTGTTTTTCGAAACCTCAATGAAAATTGTAAAACGTACAAATTTCACGATAAACATCACTACATACCCTAGTATAAAAAAACCAAGTCACTTTTTCTGTCCGTATATCCCTATGTACGCTTAAATCTTTGAAACTACGCAACGGATTTTGATACGGCCTTTATGGTAGGATAGAGTTATTGAAGAGGAATGAATATATAATGTGTAATGCCATCCAATAAATATTTGTGAAACAGCATTGCACCCATCCAAAACCAGGGCGCATCCCTAGTAGGTTATAAACTATGTGATTGAGCAGGTAACAGCTAGTCGTTTATTATTATTATTCACTGTTATCAGTCTATGGCTGCGCTCGCAATTATGGAAATAAACTCTTTTAAAAACATTATTTAATGCGTGCGTGTAAAAATTATTAAATTTTTTGTGCAACACGCCGCCCGCACAGCACGTCGATTCTATAAAATTTGTTTCATTTCGAATCGTGTTCGAGTGCGAAGTGAGCGTAGAAGTGACGAGGATATTAAATTTTAGAATGCCACTTTTAACGTCATTTCATACTTTATCTTTCAAAATGATGCTGTCAATTTAGTTTAACTCGCAAGTGTAGCGCTAGTGTAGTAGACTCACGGCGGATTCAGATTCGAAGTTTAGAATGAAGTCTTACAGAATCACACTGCAGTACAGGTTGTCAAAAAATGCACGGTGCGGGCGGCGATTATTTCGTAGTGAACGTTCGCGCGGTCACACTGCTTGGTAGATACTTTTATCCTGTCAGTCAGCACGAAACAATTGCGTATTTTTATTTAGATTATATTAATAAAATCTACCAATTTTACTGTCCGGTAACCGGCCTGATACTTTTTATACCTAAAATCTGCAGGAAGTCACTATTCCACGCGAACGAAGTCGCAAGCAAACAGCTAGTAACATATAAATCACCATTATATAATTAATCAGCCTATAAGTGCCTACTGCTGAGCAAAGGCCTCTTCTGACACGGACAGTTTTGAACATCAATCTCCTCTCTCAAGTGATTTCAAACCTATAATTAGAAATTCAGGTTTCCTCACGACGTTTTCCTCGAACCCCTGGTAACCTCGCTCATACAGCGAAACACAAAGTTAGTTGGTTTTTTTTTAAGAATAGGTCGGCAAACGAGCATACCTATTTCCTGATGGTAAGCAATCGGCGCCGCCCATGGACACACGTACCAACGGAGGAGTTACGAGTGCGTTGCCGACCTTTTGGGGTTTCGGATAGATAAGGATTTGGCCTCCGGTAACCTCATTAACACTGCGAATCACAACGCTGTGGTTGTGTTACCACCCGGCCGAGCACTCAAACCCAAGCATGACGCTTCCATTCTTAAAAATAATTAAAAAGATTTTTTTTTAATTTCAGATTAATGTATGCAAAGAAATATAGAATAAGATTCATCGGCGGAGCGTTTTCTGGCGAGAGCATCCAAAGGATTGCATACAAATTGAAATTCAGAGATCTGAAACCTAGTAAGGTTGAAATTACGGAGGAAAATGCTGAAGAGAACGACTTGGGCTATCTTTGTGGTGCTGGGATATTGCCGATTAAACTGTTGGCCGCTACTAAAGTGTACAGGAATGAAGATTGGAGCCCTATTCGCCGCCAACGTCGCCGTTGCCAGGTGACAGAACCTGCGTCCCAAGCTCCATCCACGAGTTACTCAAGCGCATCTGATCTATTCAGCCAGTCGCACTTTCATTAACGGAAAAAAATGACCAGATAAAGTGGAACAAAAAAACAAAATCGTTTGCAAGCGTTATTATTAAGAAATTACTTTAATTCTAAAAGTAAGCTTGTCTATGCAAGATGAAAAGAAAAAAAAACGGATAAAAATAATAAAATTATTTAAGAACGAAAAATAAATAAATTTTAACAAGAAAAGAAATACAAAAAAAAAGTTGGATAATCGTATGCTACGCTAGTACTTTGGTAAAATTATTTCGTAGCCTGGCTACGAAAATGGCGCATGAGCGCTACGCCGTTTGGTGTGGAGCTACGCCGTAGTACTTAGTTGGACCTTTTTCTCTATACTCCATTCTATGCCGGAATGGATCTGTTAGGGATTTAAGGATAGGGGATTTGGGGATTGAGGATTGGGGAGGAAGATTCAGTCGGTGGTAACCGCGAAAATAAATACGTTTGAATTCTATGATCTCCGGTCGAGCCGACTCATTTTTGAAGAAGCATGGCTCCACCACACTTCCCTCGAGACACGACAACGTGACCAAGGCCTGGATATCTCTAATTTTTCTTCAAAGCTGAAGGATCCACAACTTGGGTAGCGGCAACTTGAGTCATGCCCACTGCTCTTAACATTTCGTTCTTGGCCAAAGTTCATGATAAAATGGACACCGGAGATGCCTTTTTCAAAGATTTATAGAAATGTATGGACTTTTTTATCAAGTTAGAGAAGTTCGAGAAGATTTAATACTTTGGAAGAAATTCAATGAAAACCTTTTTTGTAAAAATTTGAATTTGAAAAAGTCAAAAGTCAAAAAAGTCAAATTCATCAAATTATAGTTATACAATATAATGCAATTTCACTAAAATGAAGAAGTCCCGTTCAAGCAAAATCCACTGGAACGTTATTTATTTTGGTGTAGGTTTGCTATCCTATGGAGCAGGACCAGCATGTCTCTAAGCATCTTTATCTACAATGTAATCATTCAGTGTGTAATATGCTTTTCTACATAAAGTTTTCTTTACACAAAATTTAAAATTTCTTTCATTTGTTATAACATTTAACACAGAATCCCATGAACGACTTATGTACCTTTTCGAATCTAAATAATGGCTGACATAATCTATCTCTATGTCTAGTTTGATAATTGTGTCTATCTGACACCTTATCGAATATTTTTAAGTTTTTCTTAACATACATAATGTTTTCATAAATAAACTGACATGGCACGGTCATAATATTGATCTCTTTAAACTTTTCTCTAAGAGACTCACGACGCTTTAGGTTGTAAATAGCTCTGATGGCACGCCTTTGCAAGACAAAGATAGACTCAATGTCAGCAGCTTGTCCCCACAACAAGATGCCATACGACATAATGCTATGAAAGTAGCCGAAGTACACCAGTCTTGCAGTGTCCACATCTGTTAGCTGTCGGATCTTCCAGGCAGCAAATGCTGCAGAGCTCAACCGTCCTGCCAGTGATGTGATATGGGGCCCCCATTGTAGTTTGTCATCTATGGTTATACCCAGAAAAGTAGTTTGTTTTACAAATTCCAATTTCTTACCGTTTATAATATGTCACATTCGTTACTTTTAACATTTGGCAAACTGAATCGTATACACTTTGTCTTTTTGTCGTTTAAGACTAAATTATTAACTGTAAACCAATTATGAACCTTCGTAATAGCATTATTTACGTCGTCATAATTATCTGTCCGTCTATTTATTTTAAAAATCAACGATGTGTCATCAGCAAATAATACCATTCCCGGTCCACGTTGAAATAAATGAGGTTAATCATTTATGTACACTAAAAACAGGAAAGGACCTAATATCGAGCCCTGTGGTACGCCCATAGATATGCTAGCACCCTGGGAGTTCACTTTATTTACTTGTACTTTGAACTGCCTATCCTGCAGGTATGATTTTAATAAATTGAGAGATACCCCTCGAATGCCGTAGTGTTCCAACTTACTTTTAACTTACAGCAACAGTGTCGCGTGTTCAACGCAATCAAAAGCTTTAGACAGGTCACAAAAAATCCCAATAGCGTCGTTTGACTTTTCCCATGAGGCAAAAACATGCTTAAGTAGAGCTACACCGGCGTCAGTTGTGCATCGACCCTTGGTAAACCCATATTGTTTATTTATTTATTTATTTATTGAAAAAAGGTAGGCTCACAGCTTATGTATACAAAGTTCTTAAATTTATTAGATAATAGGTAGTAGATCTTATACATTAGCCAATTACGAGCTAACCAACATTCTTAAAATTAAGCGTTTACACAAAAAAGCAGAAAAAATAAATATTGTAGAATTATAACTAAAACTAATCAAATCAAATTAACAAATTAAGTCTTATACATTAGCCAGTGTCGAGGTAACGAACATTCTTAAAGTTACGAGTTTACACAAAAATATGATAGATTATAATTAAAACTAGTCAGATTAACAAAGGGCAAAGTTGAATAAATTACATATTTACTTAGAATACATTAGAAAGGATAAGTATATAACAATTCAGATTATTGTTCAATGGACTCCAATATTTTAGATCTAAATACATTAATGGTTTCGTGGAATATATCGATCTCTGGTATACTACTTGCGATTTGGTTGAATTGCCTGCTTATTCTGTTGATGGGTGAGTTGACACCAACATTGGTTTTGCAGCAGTGTACATGAAAAGTGTTGGTGATAGGGCGCCTGGGTATGTTGTACGGTACATTTATGGCTACGCTAGCTGAAAGATAGTGGCAATCGAGTTTGTTGTTTACTATTTTATAGAGAAACATAATGTCGTACACCAATCGCCTATGATGAAGAGTCTGGTATTGTTGGTCATGAAAGATGGAATTTATGTTAAAGTGTCGTAGCATCTGAGAAAGCATTAGCTTTTCAAACACCGTACTAAGCACTGGTAAAATTGATACCGGCCTATAATTTAGGATCATTGTCATCGCCAGATTTAAACAACGGAACTACCTTGCTAAGTTTCATCAAATTTGCAAAAACTCCCTGATCTACACTTCTATTAAAAATTAAAGCTAAATAAGGCGCTTTAGCTTCTACAAAAGACCTACACACCGCAACAGACATTCCCAATAGATCCTCTGTAGACTCAACTTTTATGTCTTTAAACGCCTTTATTACTGATTGCGGGTCCGTGTACTGAAATCGGAAGCCAGAACGGCATTCTTTAACATTTCTTTTAAGAAGACTAATAGAAAGCGCCGGAGATGATTCAAGTCTTTCGTAGTTTTAATGGGGATATTCTTGAAAAATTCGAATTCTTGGGCAACTTCTTAATTAGCATTAACTCGTCCATTATCCGTATTTAAATCAAATTCCGTGTTATGCAATTTATTTCTGCCTGTCTCGTTATTAATTACCTTCCACGTAGCTTAAAGCTTAAAGAAACTTGTTAATGCTTTTATAATCTGCCATCAATAGTTTTTCTGTGAGGCCAGTTCTATTCAAGTTATTTAAAAGAGTAATAGTATATAACTTTATATAGGTATGTCACCGGAAAATAACAAGATCCGTAAGTTTATCAATTTACTAGGAAGTTTATAAACTTCCGTAAGATTCTAAACGGGAGATAAATCGTAATATTGTACGTCCACATTTTCGTAAATTGATAAACTTACTGAACTCACTCGTAAAATAATAAGTAAGCAGTAACCAAACGCTACGCGCGATCTGATTGGTTGGCTGTCACGTGTCACTTCTCCTCACAGACCTACAATAATATGGACCAGAAATACCTACAAAATCCGCGTGGATACCTACTGTCAAAATGGCCCTTAATATGGCTGCCATTGCTAGGGAAGTACTGTAGTCAAAACCAAAAAGTATCGATTTCGATAGCTGAGTTTCATACATTTCTTCTAGCAGGTACTTCGGATTTTTTTTGAAGGTAGAAATCGTCGAATGACTTCTCATGCTCTGGGTAGAGCAAGGGAGTAGGGAGCATGTTAGACTTTTACTGGCTAAAACCATACCTGTGTTCTTCAGTTGCAGTTGCTCGTCGCGTTTCTTTTAGAAACGCGTGGATCACATGTTGATGACTGAGCTCAGTCCGGTTAGTTACCAGATGGCGAGCAACCGATGTTGCATCCGTGTTGCTCTATGGTTACAAGTTTATTAAAACGACAAAACATTTTGGATAAAAGTACCTTTACTCACCATAACAAATCATCAATTAGGTCAAAACAAAATGCTTCATTTCAAAGAGATAATAAGTCATTTTGATTTAATTTATATTGTTTCACTGATAAGGGTGGTTGAGTTACCATGAAGGAAGAGAGTTCTTCGACATTTTCGATTTAACGCAGAATCAGCCCTAGTGTTTTTTTTTTGAATGCTGAAAACTTTTTTTATGATTATTAAATAATATCGTATTTTTATCACTAGAGTCAAACACAAAATTGTGTAGAGGTATTTAATAATATTAAACTTGACAAACAATGATATTAAAGCACTGGATGAATCGACAGGCTGATCGGGAAATTAAGAACAATGTAATGTTAATTAGGTACTTCACTTACAACAAAGTCGATTGACAGTACTGCATCATCACGCAGCCTTATAACATCAAGGGTTTTTGACGGATAATTCTGCGAAGTGATATGAAAAAATACGTGGCGCTTTAAGTCCAAGTTTGATATTTTCCGGCCCAATCACTTCAAGCCACTTCTGACGCAGAGTTCATTTTTAGGGAATCTGTGCAAATAAACAACATACAAATTACCAATTTCAGTTTGGTGCATGTAGTGGAACAAATCATAGGCTTAACTAAATGACAGCATTTTCACTAAATTTGAGCATCTACTTTATATGAAGAATTGATATTGTTATGTTTTGCTACCATGCCTATTTTTAACCCTATTCTGTAAGATTTATTTTTAAAATCGTCTCTTTAGACCCTTTATTTTGATACCCTATTCTACTGGACACCACAATTATTAAACTAAAACAATGTTAGTTTCATATCAATACGTTATTAAATAAAATACATCACTATTGTAAATCGTCCTTTGTATTGTAAACAAAACAAAAAATAAATTTAGCAAATATAGATAGATATCAGAAACAAATTGAATGTACAATTGGGGGTTTTTATTCTATATATAAAACAAGGCTAGATATACAAAAAAACTAATAGTATGA